ACAAATCTGCTCTTTAAAGTTTTAAAGAGCAAAGATGTCAGTTTGAAGACTAAGGTGTGGCTGAGCCAAGCCATGTATTTTCAATAATCTCATATGCATGTGAAAGTTGGACAGTGAATAAGCAAGACCAGAGAAGAATCAATGCATTTAAATTACGGTACAGGAGATGAATATTAAAAGTACCATGGACTACGAGAAGAACAAACATCTGTCTTGGAAGAAGTACAGCCTGAATGCTCCTTAGAAGCAAGGTTGGTGAGACTTCATCTCTCATACTTTTGGACATGTTATTAAGAGAGCTGGAGAAGGACATCATGCTTGGTACAGTGGAGGGTCAATGAAAAAGAGGAAGACCCCCACAAGATGGAGACTGACACAATGGCAGCAGCAATGGACTCAAAAGTAACAACTGGGAGGATGGTTCAAGACTGGGCAGTGTTTCATTCTGTTGTCGACAGGCTCACTATGTCAGAACTGACTCCATCGATGGCACTTAACAACTAACAGTCTATTTTATTTGACACATACTCATAGATTAAAAGCAAACCTAGAACATAATTTTTTTCAACATAAAAACAGACATCACATGAAATTTTAAAGTGGTTAAAAGTATTTCATATTGATTTTTATTTTAGTTTGTATGCTTTTCTAAACATCTACAGCAAAAGAGTTTAATAAGACCAAGTAAAGGAAAACAAAACTATCATAAACTAAGTTATTATACTCAATTTAAAAGTCCTTCTAGGTTTTTGGGTCTAATAGTGCAAAACTGGGTAAAAGGATGTTGTATGTAAAGTTTTCCACTAAAGAAATACAACATAATCCACAAGAAATAGGAGCCAGAACACGAGTAGATCTATGTACACCTCTGTTCACTGCAGCACTGTTCACAATACCAAAAAGATGAAGACAGCCTAAGTGCCTATCAGTGGAAAAATGGATAAACAAAGTTCAGTGTATACACACATTGGAATACTATACTACCTTGAAGAATAATGATGAAGCTGCCAACAGTTCATAACATGGATGAACCTTGAGGACATTATGCTGAATGAAATTAGTCAGTCACAACAGTACAAATATTACATAAGACCAGTATTGTAAAAGCTTAAGAAAAGAGGTCTATACTAAAAGAAAAATTCTTTGATGGTTACCAGGAGTGGGAAGGAGGGGACAGTAACTCACAGGTTAGGAGACAGACACATGATAGCTTGGGTGAGGGGGAGGAACGCAGACGAACAAAGATGGGTTTTTGCATGGGATAGGAGCTCTGGTAGCGTAGTGGTTACGAATCGGGCTGCGAACCTTAAGGTCAGCGGTTCGAAACTACCAGCCGCTCCACGGGAGAAAGATGAGGCTTTCTACTCCCGTAAAGATTTACACCCTCGGAAACCCTGTACAGGGTCGCTATGGGTCGGAACTGACTCGACGGCACTTAACAACAACAACAACAACCTATAGTAGTAAATAATGAAGTAAACTCAACCTTGCAACAATAGAGCTCTTGTGATGCAGGGATTGCGAGACACACTCTGAAAGGGTAAAGGAGGGGAAATAATGTTAAGGTGCTTGACTGTCTTGTGGATATTGGTTTCCTCTACCTACAGTTATAAAAAGAGACATTTAAGTGGGATAGAAAGGAATACTGGGAAACATGATTACAGGAAGCTTGTAAGCCCATCTTCAGCATGTAACTGACTGGATGGCTCAAAGGGGTACTAGAATTTGTCCAGGAAAATAGGCTTCTTGTTAAGCCTTTGTGGAGTATGGGGCTTTAAGTGGAATCCTGAGCCCCACCCAGAACCTTCTGAGGTAGGACTTTTCCACTTGAAAGGACATGCAAACCAACCCAGTGTGGATAGAGGAAGAGAAGACATTTCTTGAAAGAAAGACTAACAGAGAGAGAGAGAAAAAAAAAAGCAGATTGGTTATACAAGATCAAGTAAGCTAATTCACCTGGGAGTCACCAAGGCAAGAAAAGTCAGCTCCTTCCAAGACTGAAACTCAAAGGGAACACACACAAGCAGACTTGTAAGCTTGCTGGTGAACACCCCAATCTACTTCTTAGTGAAGTGGGGGAAATGCAGCAATGAAGACATGGACTGAGTTCAGCCGTGTTCCACAGATACCCGTTGAACTTGAGATGAGATCGAGAAGAGGAAGAACTGGCTGGTCTGAAGTTTAGGGAGACTTGTGATCTCCTGAGCCCATGGACCTAACTAACCACTGGGGACTAGAAGTGAGAGTGAAGGGACCAGCTGGTCTGAATTGGGGGGAGGTGTGTGAGAGCACCCAAACTTGCAGATGGTACCCATTTGAGCTAGCTCGGATGGTCCTGATCAGAACGTGACCAGAGGAAGATAAAAGAAGTTTGATACAAGAAGCAAGCGTAAATTGTTATAGTTTGATGAATTGGGTCTTTGCTTATAGATGTAGAAGGAAAAATTCTAACCGAAAGGGAAGGATTCTTTTCATATCAAGGATCAAGCTTGTCCCCTTAATACACACGATTGATACACAAGCAATTTGAGACTTGCTACCCAAAATGGGGGTCTATAAAGGTACCAAGTAGCTGGATTACAAGCTTTCAAGAGTGTGCTTAGTTTCAAAACGAGAGGGGCAAAGCAGAATCCCCATTGTATCATTTTCCTCTTGTCCACATGGGTCTGGTGAAAAGTAGATAGATAGGATTCATTTGATTCAATAGTAATTGTTATCATAACTAATTGCAACTGTCTTAACTGTCAAGGTAGAAGATGTGAAACAAAAAGGGGGAGTATTTATAGTCTTTCATGCAGAGGGAAGAACACGAGTGGCCAAACTTTCCTAACTAGAAAAGTGATGAAAGAAGAGCTGGAAGCAGAGGCGATGGCACACAGAGAGCAGCTGAGGAGTCTACACCCATGGAATTTGAAAGGCTCTGTGCCTGTGGGCAGGAGGTTGGTTTGCAAAATGTGCCCGCTGGACATTTAAATTAATATAAATGTTCATTTAATAAACGTATTTTGTGTTTGGGTACATCGAAGAAAACAAACAAAAAAAGGGAAGAGAGGTAAGAACCGTTAGTCTACAGTGCATGGAATGAGCTCTGGTAGCGTAGTGGTTACGAATTGGGCTGTGAACCTTAAGGTCACCAGTTCGAAACTACCAGCTGTTCTGCGGGAGAAAGATGAGGCATTCTGCTCCCGTAAAGATTTACAGCTTCGGAAACCCTGTACAGGGTCGCTATGAGTCGGTTCTGACTCCATGACACATAACCACCAACCACCATAGTGCATGGAGGGGATTGTAATCATTGCAGTGAAACAAAATATGATTTGTTGAGTATATACACGTAGCCCTACATAGCAATATTAAATGTTTTAGATAAGTACCATAAGACATAAAAAGCTAGTCTAAATATGCACAGTACAATTTCAAATCAGAGGATAGCTCCTACTTTGTCTTTTAGGGCTAGACTCCCAGCAAAAGGTTAAAAGCTATTTCTTATCATGCTGGCATTTGTGGTTTATTAATCCAAAACACTGAACACTAAGGTGGAATCATTCTTTTTCTTGGACAGTGGGGTCCCAACTTACACGGAGTGAAATTTTAAATGCAGAAATCACATAAAACCCCTAAATCTTTTTTAACACTAGCAATATCCTTATATTCTAATATTTGTTGCTGTTAAGTACTATCAAACACCTGCATTAATGTCCCCCCTCTTTTTAATGTAAACCATGTCATTGTAGATAAATGTGTATGAGTCACATGTACCTAGAGCTCCAGGGAGCTATTAGCTGTAGCTCAGTGCTTTAATTTAATGTAGCTCAGAGTTTATGCAGCTGAAAAGTGGTACTGAAAATACAATGGTTTATACCTGCACTTAAAGCAAATGCAAACTGTGCCAATTTTTTGAGTGAAAATTCAAAACAAATAACTTTCTCAAGAGGTTTAATGTAGCTTCTAAATGTCTTTAACATTTTCCCTTTTTCCATTTGTGCTTAACAGCTATCATCAGAAGAATGAAAAGCTTTAGCTTTCTCTTAGGAAAAACAGGAATAGTTTTCCAAGTTTTACGTAGCCAAGTTCACTCAACGAAGATAATCCAAAAAACAGGGTGACTAGAATAAAGAGCTCTCAAGCACAAAAAGAACTGACAGAGACAGGCAGCTTCAACTGTTCTTATTGAATGTAACAAACGGAAACTTAGTTAACATGCTTGAAGTATTGTTCACCTGTAGGAATATACTAAAGGGTATTGCTGTTGTTGCTGTTAATTGCCACTGAGTTGGTTCCAACTCACAGCGACCTTGTATAGGTTTTTTGAGGAGTGGTTCTGAACTGCAAGGTAGGTGAGTTTGAGCCATGAGGACCTTGTGGTCTACTGTTTATCCTACAGTGCCATGCCAGGACTCCACTAAAGGGCATAATGGTAATTAAAAGATATTTGACTGTAACTATCCAAATTTATTTACAGGAAATAGTTTATTTATATAAAACAACTTAGATGTCACTGGTCTAAATCTGTAAAACTTCATTTTCTTACCAGCTAAATGTAATGGCGTTGAATGCCGGCCTTGAGTATCACGGCAATTTACATTATCAGGAGAAGACAGTTTCTTGACTCTGGCTAAACAACCCTTCTTGGCAGCATCTAGCAAAGCTGCATCTCCCCGAAGCAGATCTTGGATATCTGTATCTCCTTCTTTTACTAGATCCAAAGGAGTATTTCCATCTCTGTTTTTCTTTGTAGGGTCTGCACCATGCTAGGAATATGAAAACAGAAAAGAAGGAATTGGATTGTTTTCCCTTGGTCATAAGAAAACAGTAGATGTAACTACACCAAAGAAAACCATGAAGAGATTACCTAAAAGGATAACATGTTAATCTTAATTTAGTTTATACCCAAAAGACTTTCAGAGCAGTATATTATTGATGGGTTTTTATATTATAGCCTAAAATTAAAAGTATGTTCAAAATAAAGTAGTAGAAAGAAAAATATAGTAGTATCTATTAAAGAGAAACTGTTTCTAGTTTTCACACAATCACTGGAATAAAATAAAAATCTGACTATCTTTTGATTTTTATAGTAAAATATTTACACTGATACCTGTATGTTGTTGTTGTTGTTAAGTGCCGTCGAGTCAGTTCCGACCCATAGCAACCCTGTACAGGGTTTCCAAGGGTGTAAATCTTTACGGGAGTAGAAAGCCTTATTTTTCTTCCGCGGAGCGGCTGGTAGTTTCGAACCGCTGACCTTAAGGTTTGCAGCCCGAGTCGTAACCACTACGCTACCAGTATCATCAATTTCAAATATTTTGAGGTTAAAGTACTAAATAGGAAAAACTATGATGACAACTATAACACAACACCAGCTGACCGTATACAATGAATCTGTGTGATAAACACACATATTGTTGTTGCTAAGTGACAATGAGTTGATTTCAACTCATAGTGACCCTGCATAGGGTTCCCAAGGAGTGCCTGTGGTTGTTAAGTGCCATCGAATCACTTTCGACCCATAGTGACCCTGTACAGGGTTTTCAAGGAGTGGCTGGTGAACTTGAACTGCCAACCTTGCAGTTTTCACCTACTTTGCAGTCCAGTGTAGTGGGTTGAAATGTAAGCCTTATGGTTAGCAGTCCAGTGCTTATCCTACAGTACCACACCAGGACTTCAAACCTATACATAGACTGATACCTTTTATTTATTCTGAAATCTAGGTAGAGAATTAGGTAACTTGGCTGCTCACTCTTTTACTAGTCTAAATTTAAGTTACATCTGTTACAAGTATCATAAACATATTCTATGTAATACCCACCGTCCAGAGTTAATACTTAAATATACCTGGAGCAGAAGTTTGCAAATTTCATATTTTCCCTTTGCTGCAGCTTCATGTAAAGGTGTAAATTTCCATAAATCAGCTACATTAACCACTGCCCCGTGTTTAACAAGCAGTTCTGCAACTTCATAATGTCCATAAGAACATGCATTGTGCAAAGGTACAAGGCCTCTGAAATGAAAAGATCAAATGAGCAGTGCAATACATGGGTATATTTTAAATAACTGTAAGTAACTGATGAAAGATTTCCCTCTAAATAACTGTACTGACCGTATTTTGTAGCACCTAAATTTACTAAAGGTAGAAAGTAACTTCCTTACTTAGGGAAGGGAGACATTTAAGATGTAGAGAATATAACAAACAGCTGTATATTCATCATCTAGAACTGAGAACTTATATTTTTAATGAAAAAAAATATATATATAAAGATAAATTGGAAGAATTCAAATCTTTTCAATGAAAATACAAAAATTTACATGAAAAAAAGCACACTCCTATTACAAAGCCACCATAAGAATTATGCAAATAACTCTATATAAATGCTAAGAATCAGGAAATCTTAACTGAAATGACCAAATCCAATCAAACCCATTGTGACTCTTAGCCTACTTAACAAAGTAGAACTGTCCCCTGGTCTTCCCAATGCAGTAATCTAAATGCAAGCAGACTGCTTTCTACCGCAAAGTGGGTGGTGGGTTTGAACTGCTGACCTGGTCAGCAGTCAAATACTTAAGCACCATGCTACCCGGACACTATAACTGAAATTAAGCTACATTTACGCCAATCTTAGGAAATAGACTTCTTTTAAAATACAAGTTACCAACTGTCATAAAAATATTTTTGGATCCTCTAAAGATAATATCAGACAAAATGTCTGTGGCAACTACTAATACGTACCCTTTATCTTTAGCATGCACATCAGCTCCATGTTGCAAGAGAAATTCCACCACAGATACCCTATTATACCCAGCTGCAAAATGAAGTGGTGTAGACTGACGTCCTTCAATGTCTCTGCAGTTGACACTCTGAATAGTACACAATTTCTGTAGAGTGAACACGGTATGCACATGATGCTACATATTATGGTAACTGGCATAAAACTACATTTCTTGTTTCAACACAAATGCCTCACTTATTTTTAATCAAATCAATACTCTCAGAGACTTTTTTAAATTTTTATTTTATCTGGTCATTTATGGGAATCTCTCAGGTTCTCTTAAGTTTGCTTGTATCTTCAACTTTTTCTAAAGCCAATAGGTAAATTTTGTAGTTACCACTACTATTTACATAAAGGTAACCTAAACATGCAATACTGTTGTTGTTATTGTTGTGGAGTCGGTTCCGACTCAGAGTGACCCTGTACAGGGTTTCCGAGGCTGTAAATCTTTACAGGAGCAGAAAGCCTCATCTTTCTCCCACAGAACAGCTGGTAGTTAACATGCAATATTAGCTATCATAATTTCCATTGTGGATCATAGTGGCATTGGCATCATTTAGGAGCTTGTTAAAAATTCAGAACCTGCATTTTAACAAGATCCCTAGATGATCTGTAAGCACACTAAGGTGAACAATACTGCTCTAGACCAGTAGTACAACTTTCATTTTCATGCACACTGAGCGTCACTCCAGTTTCTAACAAATTCCCAGGGCTTTGGGCCTGCTCAAACTGGTTCAGTCATGTCTAATGAAGCAAAACTAGAAAAGACCCATATTTTTAAAATTTGGGTGATCCAGAATGATAACCAGAACGGGAAAAATTATGTCAAAGCCCTGGAATGGGAGACTCAGAAAAGATGTGGTGATCCTTTTCTGGAGTCTGATTCACAAAACTGGATTACTGATAGGGCTGAGAAGAGCAACCCACATTCAAAGCAGCTCAGGTGGTTGCCATCTTTGAGTAGGGCATCAAAACTCTACAGCAACAGATGGATTGTTATGTGAGCTGCCTTTGTTTGCTAAGAAGCAGATGAAATTTCTAGCAGGGCTTTGACTTGTTATTTTCCCTGCTGAACCATGGCGCTTGCCCTTAGAGTCCTTTATAAAGGCACAGGACACAGTGATAGATCGGGCGGTTACAGAGGTACTGCCCATTCATGGCCTCAACTGCTGCATCAGAAGCATCAAACAAAGCAAAATTAATAAAAGCATAAGCTTTGGAGTTGCCTGTGTCAGGTTCCCACATAATCTTGGGGTTTGCAAGATGACCCCAAATGCGCTTGAAAGTACCATAAAGCAGTCTTTCATCGGTCTCTGGGTCCAGATTCCCAGTGAAAATGTTGGCCCCCACATTCAAGTTTTTGTTGTGAGCTGATGCCTTGTTCACTCGTATTGGTTTCCCATAGAGTTTGATCATGTTCATGATCTTCATGGCATAGTCAGTATCTTCCTCTCTCAAGAATTTCACAAAGCCATAGCCTTGGTGCTGGCCTGTGACTCTGTCCTTGGGCATGTGAGTGTTGACTACTGGCCCTGCTTGGAGAAACAGCTCTCATAGCAGAGGTCTGCTAACCTTCTCATCCAGGCCCCCCACGTACACAGTAGCATCCTGATTCCGCTCAGAAATGGGCCTGGCCGCCATGGCAAATGAGCACCTGCCGTGTCCGAGTAGCGGCTCTACCCTCTGAGCAATGAGTATTTTTAATAGCTACGCTAGGTGCTATTAGTTCGGTAGCTATCACTAGCCACTTTTGGTGTGATGAGACACTTTTTGTATAGCTTTTCTCGACACGGTTTTGTGCTCTGGTAGTGTAGTGGTTACAAATCGGGCTGCTAACCTCAGAGTCAGCAGTTTGAAACTACCAGCGGTTCTGAGGAGAAAAATGAGGCTTTCTGCTCCCATATAAATTTACAGCCTCGGAAACCCTGTACAAGGTCACTATGAGTCGGAACCGACTCCACGGTACTTAACAACAACAGAATAAGTAGGAGGAACTATGCAAATAAAGCGTTGATGGCCCACCAACGGGATTGGACAGTGTGCTAATAACGCAAATAAGACACAAAGAACACTTGTGTAGATGGGACCATGCAAATAAGGTGTGCTACTTTGTTGTTAAGTGTTTTCAAGTTGGTTTGCACTCATAGCAGATCAAGTATAGAGTTTCTGAGGAGCAGCTGGTGGGTTTGAATTGCTGATCTTGTGGTTCGTGGTCCAGAGCTGATCCTATAGCACCACACCAGGACTCCAAAAATAAGGCGTATGTAAACCTATTAAGGTGTTGTTGTTGTTAAGTGCTGTCTAGTCAGTTCTGACTCATAGCAACCCTGTATAGGGTTTCTGAGGAACAGCTGGTGTAGATAACCCTAAAAAGGGGACTGGTCAGTTTTGCCATCCTGCTAGGCTTAAAAGAGAGCCAATCTCAGAGTACAGAGGAGACCTGACTACCACCAAGAAAAGAGAGAAGTAGAGCATTTCATTTGGGCCCCGAGTCCTTGTGCTGGGACTCAGAAGACAGAGAGCCGTGACACCAGACACAGTTCAAGATGACAAGAAGCCATGGAAGAGAAATGACAGCAGCAAGGCAACAGAACCAGGAGGCCAACAGGAGATAGTACAGTAGGTGTGCCAACCCAGAGTGAGAGAGCTAAGCACCTTTGTGAAGGTTTGTTGGTGCAGTGGGGTACCTATGGATGCTTGGTGGGAGAGTTAAAAGAGATTTCTGACACTTGCCCAAACAGGACAGAGGTCAGGCTGAGGGGCCCAGGGCCAGATTGAAGCCTGCCTGTGGCTGTGGCCGAGAAGGTCATCCTGAATGAAGAACTGTATCCTGAATGTTCTGAAATCTGAATTGTAACCTGTCAGTTCCCTAAAAAACTCCAGAACTATGAGTATGGTCTGTGAGTTCTATGTAGCCATTGCAATGAATTATCAAACCCCCAGCAAAAAGGAGGCAGTGTCATAGGCAGGACTGTTGGTGTCAGAATTTGTAAAAAGGTTGGTCAAAGGAAGTGTATGTCTGACCTCCATCTCATAGAAATCAGCCACGGATGGTTGTTAATGCTGATAATCCTCCTTTCCCCTTGTGAACTTAGATGAAGTTGATGCCTCTGCCATGCCATTCTTTTATCACATCCTTAAATGTGGATCAGCATTTTAAATTTATCACCCCCTCTGCTCTCCACCAGTCTCCCAAAGAGAATCTGGTCACTATCTTTAACTCAAGTGATGTATTTCTTTCTGCAAGTCAACAATCATTAATAGAAAGAAAATCCTCCTTACAGGATCCTATTAGCCTCCCCTACCTTAAGGGAATGAGAATGTAAATAAAAAACATGTCAAGTAATAAAAGATTATAATAGCATTTTTCTTTCAAAAATGAAATTGAAGAACACAATCTGAAGTTATTTGGATATGACTGTACTGTTTACATAAGATAAACATGTAGGAAAACCACATGCATTAAGCCAACTTCAGAAAACTCTTCATTTAAAGGACAGTAAGTAGACTGTCTCAGAGCTCAAGTTTAGATGAAAGCAGAATTCCTGTGTTTTAGAAAATTTAAAATATTCAGTTATCTGTTCAAGATTGAGAATACCATACAGAAATAAGTGAAACTTCTTCAAAAGCTATTTTTCACAATGAATTAAACAAACTAAATATAACTTTTAAGATAAAAGTTACCACCTGTCAGGACCTCATGCCAGGCAATCAAAATAGTGCACTGTTTGAAAAAGTCTGTGAGGAAAAGACAACCCAACATGGGTACCCCCAACCACTAATTTTGGAAATTTAAAATAACACTGAATTACAGAGGACTTACTTAATTTATGAAATATATGAAATTAATTCTATATTACTTGACTTATAAAATCCCCACTCATTCAAAAAGGTAGGTTTCTGATTATTTACTTGGACACAGTTTAACAGAAACATCTGGTAGAGGAATTAAGATATTACATATGTTTCTACAGTAAAAGGCAAAACAGAATATGAGGATTACTCCAGGGAAGACCGCACAGGAGATGGGCAGATAAAAGCTGAAGTTGGCTGCGCTGAGAAAGAACAACATTTCAGTCTGGATGAAGTAAGTATTATCATGAGACAGTATCTCTGAGAAGCGGCAGCGCTGTATTATTACTGTACTTAAACACTGGGTCCCCAGCTGTAGAAGCAGAGAGCGGCAGAGAAATGAAGAAACCAGAGGAAATGAGTAAACAGAAGTGACTCAGAGTTTAGATTTTCCTCTCTTGTTTTATGTGTCATATGTAAATGATGAAGGCCAATAATTTGATGTTAGTCTTTTAAATGGACAACTTTTAAATGAATAAGTATTAAAGCAAAATCCATTTAGTAGTACATGCATTTTATTTACATTTGTGAATGTGATTTACTGAGATGCACACGAAAATAAGAAATGCCCCCCTACACACATTATTCAAAGTACCTATTTGCAAAGAACTAGATGAGCTTTATTGGTATTCCAAACAAGACACATATAAATAGACTCTTCCGGATTAAAGTACATGTTAATTAAATAATGGCAAAATTAAAACCCCAAATAAGCAAAAATGTAAGATCACATCTTACTTTTACAGTTTCTACATCTCCAGCCTTTGCAGCTTCCAGCAATTGTCTGTCTGCCTCTGAATTGCCTAACGGGATACCCTCTACAAAAAAGAGAAACAGTGATTACTCCTGTTTAGAAGTCAGGACTAAAAAGCCTTAAGAGAGGCAACTAATCAGAAAATGAAGTTGCATAGTTTGGTAAAGTATATGTAGAAAATCTTCTGCAGCTTGCAAATTATGTAGGTGGAAAATAGTAAAAAAAATTTTTGAAGCAGGTACATAAGCCATATATGTAAACGTTTATAATGAATTCTAGCATATGATTTAGAGCACATAAAGGAATATAAGTGATTAAAGGCCGGCTCTATTAGGAGCAGAGTGGCTAAAGCTCTGCCATTGCTACTAATTAGCTCTCAGACACGGGGCAAGCCGCTTTACTTGTTCTGGGTCTCATATTTTTTTCAGTTTCAAAAAGTAAACTGTGACTAAAAGATATCTAAAGTCATTTCCAGCTATGAAATTCTGTATTTTTATAGCACATTTAAGATTTCATAGAAAAGGAAGAACATATCTATCTACCTTGTACCTTGTAACAGAGTAATTTCTAGATGAATTAAAGGCTTACATATAAAAATTAAACCTTAAAAGTACTGAAAAAAAAATAAAATATAGGTGAATATTTTTACATCTCGGAATAGAAAAGTTTCGTAGAGCAGCACATGAAAGGAAGAACCTAAAGAGAACATTAATTTTGAAAAAAGTATTTTTTACTAATAACAGCATTAAACAGAGTTAGAAAGCAAAGAACAAAATGAAAAAAAAAAACAAGCAATATAATTCTTAGAATATATTTAGTACATAATGAGTTCTTATCAGAATAAATTCTAGGAAACATCAACAAATGGAATGACTATATGAATAAGCAATTCTCTCTCTCACACACACAAATCCCAAATAGAAATAGCCAATAAACATATTAAAAGTGTTTAAACTCACAACCAGAAATGCAAATTAAAATATCTCCTCCGTTCACTAGTGGGCAAAGAAGGTGTGTGTGTGGGGGGGGTGTACACTTACAATATTTATAGTTTGCATTAAAAGCATTCATTACTTTTGTAAGTAGCACCCACACATTCACCCAAGGAAAATATTTAGAAAGATAATGCCTATTGCTGATGAGGAAACAATTTTTTTCAAATACTGTTAACATAGGAGTGTGCTATGGTACATGGAACCTTTCTAGAAGACCATTTGATAATTAAATGCTATCTTTGACCTAGAAATTCCAATTTGATAATTTAATCTAAGAAACGAACTGGGAAGGTAAGTAAACTGTGACAGCAGTTAGCATACAATGGGAAAGATGGCAAATAGGCTAACTAGACAACTGAATGCTCAACTAGTTGCCATGGAGCCAACTTTGACTGATGGCAACTCCAAGCGTACTAGAGTAGAACTCTGCTCCCTTGGGTTTTTGATGGCTAATTTTTGGAAACAGATCACCGTACCTCTTGGAGTACTACATCTTTGGCCCTTTCAGTTAACTGAGAGTGCTAAATATCTGCATTACTCAGGACTCCAGGCAACAGAATAGGATGAGTGTTATTACCCCAAAATTGAGACTGAAATGGGTATGTTATGTAGGAGAGGTAAAGGGAATTTTGAAAACAGTTTTGGTTAAGTTCAATTTTGGAAGATTCCCAAAAGGTCATATGAATGTGCCTTTATTGATTTAATAAGTGTTTTCTCAAACTCTGGCATCCAGGTCACATGTATAAAAATCATCAAGTAAATTGCTAGATTCAAAGGTTTGATCTGTTGTATTTCTTCTCATCTGAGCTTTCTAGTACAAGGAGGCTTCAAAAAATTTGTGGAAAAATCAAAGTTCTGATAAGGAAAATTTCTGAAGCCCCCTTGTAAATGCTACAGATAGACAGACACTTTCAAACATATGGGAATAAGTTATAAATGGAACCCGTGTTAATAATTGCAACACATGATAAATGTAATTAATGTCACTGAATGGTACATGTAAAAAATGTTGAAATGTCCAATGTTTTGTTATGTATATTTACCAAAATTAAAAGAAATTTATGGGATCAGATTTCTATGCTGAAATGTTTACTCGATCAAAATATTTTAAATGTAACAGTCAGAACATTAGTCAAATATGTTTTAATAAAGTCAAATTGTTTACCTCATACAAACTCTACATATCTTCTACACAAATGATCTAAAAAAGAAGTGAAGCAGAGCTAGTATCTAGGATAGCATTTATCCCTAGGGGTTGCTCTACTACGAGACCTTGACTATTTACAAATATCAATGATTGTTAAAAGATTTATTGATAAAAATTTAAAGCCAGCTATTTACTCAAGTGCAACTGCACAGAAAAAAAGCTACTGGAACAAAATCATAATTAACAATTAACATTTGGGCACTGAAGATACGGAGCTAATTTTGGTTTTTGCTATTAATTCCTACACATAACAACTATGAAAACTTAAAGGGTGAATTTTTAAAAATCATCACATGGAAGCATCTAATACCTTGCAGAAGCTGTTGGACATTTTCATTTCCCATCTGTAAGGCAGTAAAGCCCTGAAGGGATATAATGTTAGGATCACACCCATAGCTCAGAAGCAGGCGGCAAGTCTGCAGATGACCACAATGTGCAGCTCTGTGTAGAGAAGTCTGACCAAGATTATCCAGAGCATTAACCTTTAACAATGTAGAAAAAGTTAGAATTAGTTTATAATGCAAAACTTAAAAATACCCAATCATGCATTTAATACTGTGCTGTGGGTTAATGCGCTAGACTGCAGAGCCATTTGATCTGCAAGGTCAGTAGGTTCAAGCTCACTAGCTGCTCCTCGAAAACCCTATACAGGGTCACTATGGGTCGGAATCGACTCGACGGCTCTTAACAACAATTTTAAAAATCTCAATTATTCTTTATGAAATTATCCAATGCCAAAGCCGTCTGTTTTCACTCAAATCTAAAGCATATAATTCACCAGTTCATGAATGCCGACATTAGAAGATCCCAAAAAGTGACCTATTGAACAACAGTTGTGCTTAGCATAAAAACATTCACAGAGAAGACACTGCATTTAGAGGCAGACATTGACTAGGACAATTTCTGAAGTTCAGAATGTGGGGACTAACCCCAAGATAGATAATTAGTAACAAATTCAGAGACAGATTAGTATTAAATTAATTGGCTTAATCTACTATGTTATTAGGCAAAATATAATCTATACAGATAAACATACCCAATGGAAAACTTCTCAGCAATAAAAAGGAACAAGCTATTGGTACATGGATGAAACTCCTAACATTATACTAAGTGGGAAAAGCCTTAAACAAAAGAGTGTATGATCTGTGTACATAAAGGTCTAGAATAGGCAAATCTAATCTATGTTGGGAAAAAAAAGTCACAGTGGCAGTTGCCTCTAGAGGTAGAGATTAACTGGGATGGGCATTACCTCTGCTATGAGATAGGCTCAATATTCTTGGTGAGGGTTTTGGTTATTCAGGTGTATGCATTAGTCAAAATTCAGCACATGTACCCTTAGGATCTGGTACATTTCAATGCATGCAAATTTTGTATCAAATGAAAAACCATACACAGATATTGGGCTCTAGTTGATGTGCATGCGGAAGTATTGAGGAGAAGCATACATTTATCTAAAAATTACTTTGAAATATGTCATAAGACCTATGTTGTTGTTGTTGTTAAGTGCCATCGAGTTGATTCCGAACCATAGCGACCCTGAACTGCTGACCTTGCAGTTTAAACGGCTTTACAGTCTGGCACACTAACCCTCAGCCCCACAATATAAATGGGATAAACAGATTTACAGTAAAATAAGAGACAAAGATGGTAGAATATATGTGGATATACAGTTCTCTATTAAATTACTTCAGTTTTGCTATATTGTTGAAATTTTTTGTAATAAAGACAAAAAGTATCAATAAGACTCCCTCCTTCATCCTTTTACCCCACAGGGGAATCAGTCTTCAAAATATAAATGAAAAATTAATTAACCCGGTGGTCACTGTCGTGTTTTGAGACATTGGTCAATTAATACAGAACTGGAGAGTATTTCAAAAGGAATACAGCAAGAGTTTCTAAGTGACTAACTTGTCCTGTTTGCCCAGGACTTCTCAGGGTTTAGCACTGAAAGCCTGTGTTTTTGGAAATTCCACAGTCCTGGACAGAGCTTGATGGGTGGTCACCCCTGTTAAGAGGGTTTCATTGAGTTTCACAACTCAAATTTAACATGCATCCATATATTTTTTAAGCAGTATACCACATTTATTAGGAAAGCAATCAACAAAGTTATAGAACAGACAAATGAGATATACCAAGCAGAAATAAAGTTTATTTTATTCAACAATTTACAATAGAAAAGATGAAGATTATACATTATCAAGAACTCTCAAAAATCAAAAGAAATTAGGACACTTGAGAGGCAACACAAAAAGAAATTGTAGAATTCTAGGTGGTTCTTCAATGGAAACCCAAGAAGAAAACCTTAAAAATGGATTGGCAAAATCTCCTGCAAAGCCCATTTAGGGAAGGGTCCCAGAAGCCAGCTGAGGGTTCTACTAGAGAATTTGCTTGCAAAAGCAAGAAGCTGTGGAAAAAACTGTGGAAACTACTAGATTAGGTGAGTAGAAATCACTAGATTATTATCCCTTCTAATCTGAAGATGTTGAGTTTTACACTAAGCGATACTTTTTTTTTTTTAAAGTTTTATTGTGAATTATATGATAATTTACATGGGAGAACATAGTTTTACATTCATTGCCATGGTTACAATCCCCTCCATGCATCATCAACCAACCAAAGGGTATACCCTGAAAGCCTGCCCCCTACACTGCCCTCCCCTCTCCCGCCCAGTCTTCAGCACATAGTTGCTCTCCCTCTCTGGGTCTAAAGTCCCCAGCTGCTCCATCGCTCCACGTCATTGCCTCTGCCTCCATCTCAGGCATCACTACTAAGCAATACTTTTAAAAGATCCTGGGCAAAAATGATGATTTCTAAGGGAAAGTGTAATTAATCTATGCATAAAATGCTATGTGCATATGTGCCAACCAAAAAAGAGTAACTTCTCAATACCGGGGTTATAATGTTTTTAGTAAAATTATCTAATTTCCTTACTTCTGTTTACGTTCTTAAACATAGTCACAGAAGTAACACAGGAACGAGTAAAACTATGGCTGAGTAAATAACAGTTTTCATGGTAACCACATGGGAGAAAGGATACAGATATGAGCTAGAGTCTGTCTCTAACTGGAGATATTCTGAAGACTGTGCATTGTTAAAAAATGAGACCTTTAGGATAACCTGACCAGTGAGGCTAAAATGAATAGAAAAAGAAGGATATGACAATAGCAAAAAAATGACATTTTTGAGTAAGTCAATAGGCTTTCTAGCAAAGAATTAAGATATAGAAAAAGCATCTGCAGTACTGTTTTTAAGTATAGAGTAAGAGGGGGGAAAAGCATCACTTAAAACAGAGTAGTAATTCAGGAAGTCAGGCATTTCATTTACAAAATAGAAAAGAACTCATTGGATTTACTCAGATTACCCAAAAGGAAGAAGTATACCTTTGCTTCATGTTTCACCACCACTTCCACAATATCATTATGAGCTTTCTCAGATGCCACATGTAGAGGTGTCAAGAATCTTAAAGAGAAAGTCAGCCAGATCATGAGTATACTTTCCAGAAAATAAAGTACAGTAGTATTTAATTATTTAAATATACCTACTCTTTAGTCTTTTCATTGATGTTTGCTCCTTTTCTCAGCAACAATTCGCATATTTGCTTTCTTTTGGGATATGGAGATGCAGCAGCACAATGCTAAATGATTTAAATTGCAGCATTAATCAATGTCATTTTTTAGTAAGAACATTTGTGCTTCTTATTAGTAATCAAGAGGTTATTTAACTTCTTTTGTTTTGTTTTTGACCTAGTTTTGCCCTTGGAAGACTTTTTGATGGGTAGAATGTTCAATTATTATGAAATTCTGACATGGCCTGAAAACCCTAATTACCAAATGAGGTTGTGTTGGTTGGTGGTGGGTGAATGCCACCGAGTTGTTTCCCACTCATAGCAACCCTGTGTTGTGTTTCTGAGGCTATAAATCTTAATGAGAGCACAAAGCCTCAACTTTCTCCCACTGAACAACTGTTAATTCCAATTGCTGACCTTGTGGTTGGCAGCTCAGCTCATAATCCACTACGCTACCAGAGTTCCTTCGATATGGTGGTGTGCCGTGGAGTTGATTTCGATTCCAACTCATAGTGACCCTGTATAGGGTTTCTGAGGCTGTAGATCTTTATGGGAGCAGAAAGCCTCATTTTTCTCCCACAGTACTGCTGGTAGTTGACCTTGGGTTAGCAGCCCTGTTATTAAATATTTTGATTAAATGAAAGGTTCTTAGATTTTTGACAGTCACTACTGAAGTGATGATAGTAAGAGAATGTGACTAATACCTCTCTAAAAACCGTTCTCATTTAGCATGGTGTTTAACATATTATTCTTTAAAGGTTCAGACAATGCCCCCAATATTGGGGCTTCTTTATGTGAAGAAATAATACAGCACTCAACAGCTCTGAATTTTGCTTGGTAACAGTCTCGATGCAACCGCCGACAAACTGAGTAGTATTTATACCTCTATCCATTAGTTGCTTCAGCAGTATAAAAGCCTTATACTACTTATACAAGGAGCCCTGTTAGTGTTGTAGTGGGTTACGAGTTGGGCTGCAAAGTGAAAGGTTAACAGTTCAAATCCACCAGCTGCTCTGTGGGAGAAAGATGAGGTGTTCTGCTTCTGTACATAATTACAGCCTTGGAAACCCTATACAGGGTTGTTATGAGTCGGAAGTGACTCAATGGCGTACCACCACCACTACCTATATAGCAAAATCTGTGCTAGAAAATTATATAATCTGAAATAGGAGGCTGTAGCACCTTACATTTATGATGACCAACAAGGAAAGGACATGAAATTTATCAGTTATAAAGTTGGTAAGAATTTGTCGTGGTCCACATCTTTGCACCCCCAGCATCTAGAATATTTGTGTAAGAGGTTTTCAATAATGGTGTGAATGAGTGAATGTATCAATATTGTTGTTAGGTGCCACTGAGCTGGTACCGACTCATAGCAACTTTATGCACGCAGAACAAAACACTGCCCGAGCCTGGGCCAACCCCACTACTGTTGACACGTTTGAGTCCATCGATGCTGCCACTTGGCCAATCCATCTCGTTGGGGGTCTTCCTCTTTTTCTCTGACCCTCCAACTTACCAAACATGATATCCTTCTCCAGTGACTGGGCCCTCCTGACAATACGTCTGAAGTACGAAAGATGAAGTTTGGCCATCTTGGCCTCCAAGGAACACTCTGGCTGCACTTCTTCCAAAACAGATCTATTGGTTCTTTTGGCAGCCCACGGCACTTTTACTATTCTCCTCCAACACCATAATTCAAAGGCATCAATTCTTCTATGGTCTTCCTTATTCACTGTCTAGCTTTTGCATGCATATGAGGTTACTGAAAATTATCATGGCTTGCTTCAAGCGCACCTTAGTCCTCAAACTGACATCTTTGCTCTTCAACACTTACACAGGTCTTACACAGCAGATTTGCTTAATGCAATATGTCCTTTGGTTTCTTGACTGCTGCTTCCATGAGTGTTGATAGTTGATCCAAGAAGAATGCAATCCTTGACAACTTCAATCTTTTCTCCGTTGATAAGAATGTTGTTTATTGGTCCAGTGGTGAGGATTTTTGTTTTCTTTACATTGAGATGTAATTCATATGGAAGGTATGTATCAATATAGATACGTTAAAATTGAAACCTGAGAATCATGGAATAAAGGTTCTGGATAATTTTTAAGGTTAAGTTGCTCTATACACTTAAATATATATACATAAAAATTTTCTTTAATTTTAACCTATCATTATGTTTATTTGATGTTCAAGACTCTGGGACAAAGAATTAAGTTTGGCCTTTTGTATCTGGTTTCTGAAGACATCCTGGTGGTGCAAATATTTAAACACTCAACTGACAACTAACAGCCTGAATTCACAGCCTCCTGACAGGCTTCCATAAAGATTACAGCCAAGTATGGGTCACGTCACATGGACTCCTAATAACAACATCTAATTTCTGAAAATAAAACATCAAAACCAAACTCATTGTCATTGAACAGACTGTGATTCAACATTCTAGGGAACAGAGCAGAACAGCTTTCCAAAGCTGTACATCTTGACAGAAGCGGAGTGCTGGGGAGGTTCTAACTGCCTACCTTTTGGTTAGCTGCTGACCATTTACCCATAGGTACCACCAGGACTCTTTGCTTTTTGAAAGGAGCCCCACTGATTTAACTATGTATGAAGGTTCCAATTATGAATATTCACAAAGGGCCAATGACTAAATGACCTTGGATCTTGAAGCCTCCTCTTTGGGGCCTCCTGGATTGGTGAGAATATTCAGGAATGGGAAACGGTGGCATACTCCTGGGGGCAAGGGAGCCCTTATGCTGGGAACTCTCTCAGACCCTGACTTGTAGGGATAGGTAACTATCTCCATGAACTTTGTGAGGTACAGTGGGTTAACTATAAGACTGGCAGTTCAAATCCACTAGCTATACTGTGTGAGAAAGCTAAGGCAGTCTACTTCTGTAAAGATTACAGCCATGGAAATACCTCAGGAGCAGTTCTACTTGTCTTATGTTGTTGTTCTTAAGTGCTGTCGAATCAGTTCCAACTCACAGTGACACCGCATAGGGTTTCTGAGGAGCGACTGGTGGGTTTAAACCACTGACCTTGCAGTTCAAACCAACTCTGCAGTCCAGCACATTAACCCGCAGCACTACATGTTGCTGTGAGTCGGAAATGGATTTGGGTATAAAGAATTAGTGAACCCACAAGAGGCAGTGGACTTCTGATTTAGCTTCGGGTGACTTGTTCAGAATAAGGCTGTATAAGCAGTTGCAAGGACAGAGTACAAACTTGGAAGGAAGCAGCTTTGGGTGACTGCACAGGCAGTCAGTGAAGAAGGACACAGTCCTAGCTTGACCTAGCTCTGAGAGGCTGGAACAAGAGAGAGGTGATGGCTGGTCTGAAGTGTGGGGAGTTGTGCAAACTCCTGAGACTATGGCTGGTCTCCGATGACTTGGCTAGGGATGTCTGGCTTAACTCTGGGTGGTTAGTGTGAAAGCGGAAGTACCACAGAAGCAGCAGCTGGTAACGAGGATCTTAGGAGATGTAGGAAGTTGAAGTCTGGATCTATTTCCAGGTGGAAATTAGATTCATACTGATTTTTGCCAAGCAGTTAGTGATGAAGGTGGGGTTTGCCCACTTTGTCTCTTTAATAGTACAGTTAGCGACAACAGCATCACAATGGGTTTACTTCAGATTCATTCCTTCATGTGGCTATCTTCAAAGTCATACCTTTGCCCACAATCAAGTCACTTCGAACTGGTTAATATAGCTCTTGTGGTCTGTTAAGGGGTTAGCATCCTAAGAAGTCTATTAAAGTCTCACCCAGAATGGAAATAGTTTGTTTCCAAAAAATTTGGATATTATTTTCCAATTGTTCCCCTGCTCCTCTGCACAACTCTGGGGCGGGGTCTGTTGTCTCCAGAAACCAGGAAGAAAATTCCCCTTCACCATTGTTGTGTAACCGTTGTCACGTTGGTTCTGACTCAGTGACCCTGTACAGGGTTTCTGAGGAGTGGCTGGTGGGTTTGCACTGCCAACCTAGTGGTAAGCAGTCCAGTGCTTAATTTACAGTGCTACCAAGATCTAACTATTAGTATGCTTTAAGGTAAATGACAAAAATGAGCTAAATAATAGCAGAATATTTAGGAGAAAATGGCAGGTAGTATCACAGCTTTACAGACCAGGAACATCTTCATGGCATCAGTGTCTCTCTAAATTTTTCTGTGTTGTTGTTGTTACATGCCGTGGAGTTGGTCCTTACCCATAGCAACCCTGTACAGGGTTTCTAAGGAGCAGCTGGTGAACTTGGAACAACTGACCTTGCGGTTCAAAATGACTTTGCAGTCCAGCGCATTAACCACAGTACCACACCTTGATAGAGTCTGACATGGTTATTTTAATTTTGCATTAGCATTTATTTTTTGTCTGAAACTTTGCTATATTTTTCTTAGATGTTTCCACTAGTAGCAAAAGGTACAAAATGTTTTGTAGATAGGTTTTTAAACAAACTTCACATAGTTGACATCATAACAGAAGGAAGGAAAGTTCCCATATTAGATAAGCCTGGTTACCAGTGAGTTAAATCTATTCCTAAGCACACTGAGTTATTTCCAGTCATCTCTCCTCACTCAACATACATTCTGCAATTCATACAACAGGACTCAGCTGTGCCCTTCTAAATTTCTAATTTTATACTAGCCTCTGATTACAATGAAACTCTGGTAGTGCAATGATTAGCACTCCACTGCTAAGCAAAAGGTCAGAAGTTAGATCCCACCCGCCAGTCTGTGGCAGGAGGATGCAGCAGTCGGCTTCTGTAAAGATTTTTATTAGGTGCTGTTGAGTTGTTTCCTAGCACCCTATAAACAACAGAAGGAAACACTGTCCACTCCTGCACCATTCTCACAACAATTGCTACGCTTGAGCCATTGTTAACTCCATCCATCTAGTTGGGGGGTTGTAAAGATTATAGTCTTGGAAATCATCTGACCGAGAGTTGATATGAATTAGAATAAAGCAACAGCAATGGGTTTGGTTCTGCTTTTCTGACTACACCATCCCTCTTCTAACATCATCACTTAGCCTAGTAGCTCCCATTCTCTTCCATCTTTCCTTAGACTCCTCTACTGGCATCTACCTTCTTACAGCTCTACCGAGGGAAGTACCCACTACGGATGCAGTTACTTTATTCACACAGTGTAGCAAGATCTACAGAATACAGATACAATTTGAAAAAATGACATACTGCAAAAGAAGAACACAAGTGATTTTTATCTGAATGGTAGATGTGGTATAGTGCATTATCTAATGATTCCTCTAGCCACAGTCTGTAACTCCCACCAAACAATGTTTCTGGCCTGCTGGGTCAAATAAAAGAAGGTGGGAGAAGACGTTGATAGAATGACAGGATTCAGCTGTGGATGTTAGCAGAGTTATCTACAAATGTAAAAACTTGAAACTCTAGCATGGGTATAAAATGAGCCATCTCAGAAGCAGGAGGGGGGGGAATCTCACTTCCATCAAGAAGGACATCAAGAGTGAAGTGTGTCTTTTGGATACTGAGATCCCTGAACATTAAACCTCCTGACCCAGGACAGAGGAACAACAGCAGCAGAAAAAAGAATCAGCACACAAAACAGAGTAGTGGGTTTTCCTGCCCACAGAGCAAGCAAAGCCGAGTGACTCTGGGCAGGAAGCTTACTTGTAAGTGGGGTGCCTCTACGCACTTAAGTGAAGGAAATAGCTAGGTAGTACCTTCAAGCTTTACGATGGAGTGGTGTGTCCTATGGGCATTTATCAGGAGCTGACTGAAGAACTGTGCCCTGAACAGCTAACTTTCCTAAAAAATCCCCTAACTGTGAGCACAGTGTCTGAGTTCTGTGTATGTGGCCATAGAGAGGCCTATGGGAGGAACAGTTGGGTGTTTTAATTTTTGCAGTCGGATTATTTTATTTTCAGCTTAAGTCTTTATAATTTTTATAATAATATAGCAACTATTATGATAATAAGAAAGTTACATGTGTTGTATGCCAGTACATGAATAAAGATTTTTCTCTAGAAAAATGCTCTAATACTGTTTTCTAATGGGAAACGGGGGGCAAGGAGGGGTAGGAAAAGTTGTCTTATTTTTCTGTCTTGATATTTTTTCTTTATATATGTATATGCTATTGCTAACAGCAGCACATATGACTACTGTGTATAGTCCTAAGAAGTAGGACCTTATGATTAGGAGCCCTGGTAGTATAGTGGGTTGTCTGTTAGGCTACTAACTGTAAGGTCAGCAGTTCAAATCCCCAGTCACTTCATGTGAGAAAGAAGAAGCTTTCTGCTCCCATAAAGAAACACAACCTCAGAAACCCTGCACAAGGTTGCTATGAGTTGGACCCGACTCAACTGGCACAACACTGCTGTCACCACCAAGCATGTTTTGGCTATGTATTTTAAGAACTTAAATTTGAAACATTACCAGTGCTGTTTCATGCGTTTGCGGATGCTTGAAATTAACCATTTCCAGAGACAGATGTTTTTTAATTCGTGTAACGTCAGCTTCCCGTGCAGCTTGTAGCAATGAGTGGCCTTTAAATTCATCTAGATGAACAAAACGTATTTAATCTGCATGAGAATTACCAAACTAATGGGGTCTTAATACAAAACACTGAGCATTTTCCTTTAAATTTTCCAAACAGTCTACCACAATATCCAGTTCTAAAGTTATCTCCACACAGAAGTCCCGAAAACAGTGACAATCATATTTCAGTTCTCCCTAGTTATGGCTCAATTCATACAGGTAGTGCATGATTTATGTTCTATTTGAGTTATGACAAATCACACTTATGACCATCATGTATCTTATTAATATATAAGAAGCTTCAAAAAGTTCCTGAAAAAATTAAAATTAAAAGATAATGGGATTTTCCCACAAACTTTTTGAAGCCCTCTCTTATACTACTTACAGTGCTTCAGTGTATTATTTATTGTTGCCATCATATTTGTAAGTTTATATGTAATTATTTCCAATTTCCAAAGACAAAGAGCAGATTTATAAAGAGACCGACAATAAAAGGCAATAATTATCAAAACTTTTTAAAAAGGTATTCAAGTTCTATGCTGTTGTTAAGTGCTATCAACCCCATAAATGAAGTGGAGCCATCAAAACAAAACCCCATCGTAAGTCCAAGACTACAAACTCAGCCCATGGCAGACTCAAGGTCTACCCTAATTCATAACTGTTATGTGCTAAGTCGTTTTTGACTCACAGTGACCATGTGTAAGGTTTCCAAGGAGAAGTTGGTAGGTTTAAACTGCTGACCTTGATCTGTGGTTAGCAGTCCAGTGCTTACCCTACAGCATTATACTGGTCTCCTTATCTAGAGACAGCTGAAGTACTGCAATATAATCCCAGTCCAGAGAGTTCAAGAACTTTCTAACACAGACTGTTTCTCAGTAAAGAAATGAAATAAAAGGCGACCATGATCCCCTACACTACTATCATGACAGCAGCAGATGGTTTTGCTCACATCTCCCAGAGAAAGCAGAATAGACTGCTGATAAATAAGAGATTATTATCTCAAAATTCTTTTTTATTGCGAAGCCATTCATTATACTGTATTTAGCATAATACAAGTCTAATAAAAGTTATTTATGTGTGATAATATTGTATCTAAATTTGGAGATGTTTCTTGCTACATCTTCAGTTAAAGACAACACCATATCTTTGCTCAAATGCCAACAAATATTAGATATAAGATCTGGGGACTACGTTTACAAGATATTAACCTTACAAATAACTTTATTTCCATAGCAGATTAAATGGAGAGAAACTACAAAATTAGAAATAAAACAAATGCTTTATTTTCAAAGCATACCATCTATAATATGATCAATATATATGAAAAACATACAACTTGACTTGCGAAAAACAAAGACATTTTCTTTTTATAGCACTTTAAGAATATTACAGATGTGCAGAAACTTCCAAATGATAAAATATGCTCATCTGAACAACAATACATACCATGGCTCAGGAAAAAAATTCTTTAATTTAAATGTTTCTAAACACACAGGAAACAAAAGAAAAATTCAGTTTGCTGATATACTATCTTAGTTGAACATTCATCATTTCATACTCACATGCTAATCTTTCTTTTAACTGTGGTGTGGGAGCCAAATCGATAGCACTTTTATTGTGACAATTCAGCAGTGTTGGATCTGCACCATAACTTAAGAGAAGAGAACATACTTCAACCCTGTTCTTAGAAGCTGCCTCATGAAGAGGAGTGAATTGCCACAAGTCCATTGCATTTACACAGGCACCATGCTGGGGGGAAAAGGCATATAATTAGCACTGAATTTTAAAAAGAATTTAGAATTATTAGTACTCTATAATTTAACATTATGCAAGCTTAAATAGATTATGTTTCCAAGGTTCACTTTCTAAGTCAATTATTTCAGAAAGAGAATACATTTTTTCTCCATGGAACAACTGTAGGTGGATGTGAGGTCTGCCTACAAGGGCCTACTTAATTCTTTTATTGTACAGAATAAAAGCTTTAGAATAAAGCTTTAGGTTTAATTTACAGCTTTTTTTTTATTGGAGTACACAGTAAATGCACAGTTCTTTGATGAGTTTTGACAACTGATACTATCACCCCAATCAAGGCACAGAACATTTTTGTTAACCCAGAAAGAAAAAGTAGATACTTCCTGTCCTGATTCTAACTTTTAGCACTATGTATCTGTTTTGTTAATGAGTCTTCCTCCAATCCTGGTGCCACATTTTTCTTCAAATAACCCAACTTCTTGGATTATTTGCTCAGCATACAGGTTGAATAAGTATGGTGAAAGAATACAACCCTGTCGCACACCTTTCTTAATTTTAAACCATTCAGTGTTGCCATGTTCTGTTTGAACAACTGCCTCTTGGTCCAGGTACAGATTCCTCATGAGCACAATTAAGTGTTCTGGAATACTCTCACTTTGCAATGTTGTCCATAGCTTGTCATGATCCACACAATCAAAAGCCTCTGCATACTCAATAAAGCAAAGGTAAACATCTTTCTGATATTCTCTGCTTTTAGCCAAGATCCATCGGACATCAGCAATTATGTCCCTCGTTCCATGGCCTCTTCTGAATCTGGCTTGAACCTCTGGAAGTTCTCTGTCAATGTATGCTTGCAGCCGTTTCTGTATTACTTTTAGCAAAACTTTACTTGCATGGGATATCAAAGAGATTGTCCGATGATTTCCGCATTCCGTTGGGTCACCTCTCTTTGGAATGGTTACAAATACAGATCTCTTTCAATCAGTCAGCCAGATAAGTGTCTTCCAAATTTTTTGGTATAGATGAGTGAGAGTACGTGCTGTGCCGCCTCACTTTCTTGGAAGATTTCAATTTTTATTCCATCAATTCCTGTTGCCTTGTTCTTTGCCAATTCCTTCAATGCACCTTGGACTTCCTCCTTCAGTATCACTGGCTCTTGATCACAAGCTACCTCTTGAAATGGATGAACATTAACCATTTCCTTTTGGTACAGTGACTCTGTGTATTCCTTCCATCTTCTCTTGATGCTTTGTGCATCATTCAATAATTTGCCCAGAGAATCTTTCAATAACAGAAGTCGAGCTTGAAATTTTTCTTCAGTTCCCCCAGCCTGAGAC